TGTTCTGGCATCAAAATCTGTCACAGTAGCCCTTCCATCTCTTTCATGAAAGCTTCATACACATCATCCTTAGTTTGTACTGAGACAGGAACAGAAGGACCAGATTTGGGGGCTGCTTTGGCAAGAGGTACAGCAGAATCATCCTCCGACTTTCTTTGGGGAGCAGCGGTAGCCCCTTTATTCTCCCGACGTACTCTCAGTGCAGTGGGCACAAATCGAGTAATCTCTGCCTTGGGATTAGTGATCTGTGGCTTGGCACTGATGGTTGCTGTGGCTTTCTTCTCAATGGTGGCTGCACTTGTATCATCTGCCTTGGGTCGCTGAATCAAGTTGGGCGGGGCACTTAAAACCCCAGGGTTCGGCAAGGGAGCTGGTGGGAAAAGCCCAGGGGGGGCAGGTCCAAGTGGAGGCACCAAAGGTGGGCGCATCATGCCGGGACGGGGTGGAGGGATACCTAAATGATGACGAAAACAGGTAGAATGAACACCACAAGAACTAATAAAGTTTAACTACTATTAAGGTTGTTCAAATACAGGTTGACAATTTTTAAAAACTGGATAACAATTTATAGAAAATAAGTTGAACTCATGGTGTTGGCTATTTGAAACTCAGAAATATATCCTGGTAGTAAGGAATATAAAACAGTATTCACCTGCAGCCTATATTCCTGTACTTACAGTAATATGGGGTTTTCCTCTCTAAATAATGTACTACTTTAAAATATGAAGTAAAACTGACAACACCAACCAGTTTCAAATACTATTTCAACTTTGATAATCTGAAGTTCTAGCCTAGCTATATAGTGTAGATATTATTAAGGTCAAGGTCAGGAGGTTGATCTCCATGCATTATCTACTTATTTCCATACCAGCTCCTCTGCAAAAAAAGTAACTCAATGCGGGAGAAATAACAATTTAACCTTGGTCATTAAATGCACATGGAATGAAAGAATGTAATTAATCACAATCTGTCATCATTGCTAGAAAAGACTTCATGTCCTATTGATGGTTCAGACATACAATCTTCATATGCCAAAAACTGAAAATTTGAAATTCTTCAAATGCTACTTTTAAATTAAATATAAAGTATTATACTTCATCAAATCCAAGAAGCTAATGATTATATAGATTCATAATTATTCCATGTACCACTAAGACAAAAAAGAAAAAGCCCAAGCTGGGGCACTTAGAAGCAGACCTTCATATTAAACTGGGACATTCAATGTAGTAAACCAGAAATATATATCTGCCACATTAAACAGCCCACAGAAAATCTGCATGTCTAATCTTGATGCTGGGTAGAGGGAGGAGGAAAAAAAATCTCCCCTGCGATTTTAAACTTTAGGTTGGTACTCATACAGATGCATGGAACATTTTCATAATTACAACTAAAACAAAAAAATCTCAAATAGAGAATTCAATCAAATGTGTTCTCTGGCTGAGAGAAGTACTTCAAGTGACGGGCAGAATCAAATGCAAATACCAACTGGAAAAACTACTTCAATCCAAGCCTACAGCAATTAAAAACCACCACCAATTGTAAGATTCCTCTGGATTTCAGAATATTAAAATCTGACAATGTCTTACATCAAATGAAACATGTAGCAGGCTAAGTCTTTATTACAGAAATTGAAAGCTTCACCTGGAGGTGCAGGGGGAGGTAGCCTTGGTGGAGGTCCCCGAGGAGGAGGGCCAGGAGGCAGACCTGGAGGTGGACCTGGGGGAGGGCCAGGGGGTCGGCCTGGTGGTGGTCCCGGAGGTAAAAGTCGGGGTAAAGGCCCTCGGAGTCCTGGCATTCCAGGTGGTCTCAGGAATGGAGGAGCTCCTGAAAAGAGAAAAATGATAGATTAACGTCAAAGAAATAAACATTAAGCAATAATGATGGTATAAAGGCAACTCAAATACGGTTTGACTAATCACTTTAACCTGTAATCAGAATTAACTTCAAAAGCTTAATGAAACATGCATAGAAATAGAAGTCATTCAACAAATATTTGAGCACCAGAAAAAGGGTATTGGATTTGTTATGGATCATTTATTTTTATTCCCAGCACCAACAGAAAGCATGCTTCATCACAGCTCTGAGGGGCTGGAAATATACAAAGGTGATTAAGAATTCATAAATGGTTCCAGTATAAGCTGAAAATGGAATATAAAGTACGATGCTTTAAGGACCCCCTGAAACTCATTAAGATATAAATAAAGACCCCTGAGAATGATGTAAGATAATTTCACTTTGCACTAATCAGAAAAGTATTAGCTCAA